GTGAAGAGAACCTCTGAGGGCAGAACTCCTCCCTCCTCCCTCTATTCCCTGGGGCAGGTGGGGAGTAGGAAAGCCTGGCTGGAGGGACTGGACTCTTGCTCACACAGGCCCCTAAGCAGGCTGTAAGCCAGAGCAGTCTTGCTGGAGGGGCATCATATCCATCCATACCTTTCAGCTTCTTCCCATTATGGGCCTTTATTATGAGGCATCTTGCTGGTTCCCTTTGACCTACTGGTCAGTTCAAGAGTTGCTTTCAGGGTGAGTTCATCTTCCCCTTCTGTCTCCTATTGTGACTGTTTTGGCTGTGACATGTCTCCCTTCCTCCATCCCTAGGACAGGGTTCTTCCTCTCCCCTTGGCCCTAAGGATGATGGTGTTTAAATTGTTCCCAGTCTTAGAGGAAACAAAAGAGGACTTAAAGAAGAGGTACAAAAGATTGCACTTTAGTTACAGGGTTGAGAGGCAATTGCCAAAGGAGGGATGAAAACAGAGACAAGCCAGAAGTAAGAGGGCAGGTCTGTGGATGCCAGATACCACATAGGCTTTTCAGGAGGAAGGGGACTGCGTTAATACCCAGTGTCCCAGGTGTGTCCTGACACCATCATATGATGCTCATAAAACCCTGTGAGGTAATGAGATTATCTCCAGCTGATGGATGAGCTCAGCAAGGCTTGATAACTCTGAAGGGCCCAAAGTTGATCTGGCTCCACTTTGAGTGCTCTGACCACTTCTGCTTTCTCTTTGTTTGATAAGAGTTGTATCAAGGAGTGAATGAGAACTTACTTTTGCCTTTAAGAGGCCAGTCTCTGAGAAATCACTGGAGGAAAATGTTAGGGAAACAGACCTCTGACTGAGTCTAGAACCAGGTTTGTTCCCTGGCTGCCCCTGGAATCCAGGAAATTGGCATCCTTTGGACATCGGAGCCCTGCCAGATACACATACCTTATCAGGTGGACGTAAGTACCTCCGTGCCCAGATCTTGCAGAAAGAGAACTGCCCTGGTCCTCTGCTTGGCTAGTGGCTCCCACCATAGTCAGTTCTTTGCCTCTGTGAAAATGGAAGAGGTTGAGGGTTTTCCCTTATCCTGTCCTCTTTACACTGTCAGCCCTGACAGAGCAGAGGAGGTTGGGGCCACTGTCCAGAAAGTGCCACACAAAGCTCTAGACAGGAAGAGGTGGGCCAGCCTGTGTTTAGGTTTGCTTCATGATTCTGCCACCTAATTCCACACTCCAGGGGTCCAGCTTCTTTGAGGATCTAAATTTTGACTAAGTACTTGTGTCTCCCATGCTTTATATAGTTGGGAGATCCTGAAGGTGATAACTTTGCCAGGCATGGTGGCGCATGCCTTTAATCCCAGCACTTGGGAGGTAGAGGCAGGCAGATTTCTGAGTTCAAGGCCAGCCTGGTCTACATAATGAGTTCCAGGACAGCTGGGGCTACAGGGAGACCCTGTCTCAAAAAGACCAAAAAAAAAAGTTGATAATTTTGCTCAGCCTCCAAGCCTGTAGAATTAAGCATTTCCTTACCAGCACACCTGGCCAGGAGGTGTGAAACCACAGCAGCCCATAGTGGTTAGTCAAAAGAGGAAGTTGGTGTAGCCAGGATGTGATGTCTGCTACAGTAGCAGCAGACAGCTCCCTCCTTCAGTCAACATGTTTCTTACATGGGAGAAAACAGCAAATTCTTTTCCTGGCTCAGACTTGAGAGCACTATCAGATGACAGGGATGTGCTCAGGGTGTTCACACCAGCACTAGTACTGGGGAATGTTTCTGCTCAGTTTGGTCTCAGGTTCAGCTAGCAGTTGCCTGATCTCCAGCCAGGTAGGCTAAGGCCTACTTTGGGCCTGCCTTTGACTCTTGGGTCCCTGTTTGTTAAAGCCTCCTATTCCTGTTCTGCTCTCTATCCAGTGTTGAGATTGGCTGTCAGCAAATCAGTTCCAAAGGGAACATTCTGGACTTGGGTTTGCCCATCCTATCATTAGCACTGTATCAGCTGTGGGGAAGACCAGGTTAGCCCCTCTCGCTTGTAGAAAGTCAGGCAGACACATAAGGCAGCAGAAAACATGGAGAGAGGTGTGATGCGGTGTGATGGTCTCCTCCCTTCCTTCTTCTCTAGTTCCAAATTCTTCTGTTTGTAAACTGGAACTGGAGCCCTCAACCTGCTTCATGTTTTTGAACCATAGTAACTCTGTTTCCAGTCAGTAAATGAGCCCACTGCTAATAGGGTCTTTTAACTATAGGCTCACCGTCAGCTTATTGTCTACCAAGTGTGTTAAGAGTGAGAGACTGTCATATAGAGAGTTCTTGGGGTAAGACAAGCATATAGCTGGTGTAGTAGTATGTGTGAGATAAGTGCATGATGATTAGTTTGTGTAACAGAAGTAAATCATATTTAAGGAGTTCCTCTTGTCTCTTAGAAAATGGAGGTCCCTCCCTCAGGGTTCTTCTGCTTTTTTCTTGGTGAGTCTGGGCACCCTCCATTCATGTCCTCAGGTAGTAGGCAGGATTGAAGCCAGTGGTCATGCTTGGGCTACAGGGAGAGAGCTGGATTTAGAGCAGAAGGCCCTCCAGGAGGCTGGGGAAGAGGCTGACTCCATGGGAGGTCAGGTGGTTGTCAGACAGCTGACACTTCATTTGGGCATCATGTTTGAGTCAGGAGTGGGGTAGATGCAGAGATCTGATTAAAATGTTAGACTACTATTAGAGGTAAGGATTGTGATCGAAAACAAAGTCAGTGTGACTAGGGAGAAAGGAGAGGCATGGCTGCAGGGAAGGGAGCAGGCTTTAGGCCTCCCGCCCTGTACCATCTATTCATTGAGCACACAATAATCAGCAAAATAAAATGATTTCTGGGCAGTCCTTCAGTATCCTTTCTACATTAGTCTCTCAGTGAAGGATCAGGACAAGACCAAGTCTTGTTTAATTGGGAGGGTAGTAATTTGTAATTAGTAGCAAGCAGGTAATTTGTTGTTGTTTCTTTCTTTCTTTCTTTCTTTCTTTCTTTCTTTTAATCTTTTTGAGACAGGGTCTCCCTGTAACCCTAGCTGGCCTGGAACTCACTATGTAGACCTGGCTAGCCTTGAACTCACAGAAATTCGCCTGCCCCTGCCTCCCGAGTGCTGGGATTAAAGGCATACGCCACCATGCCCAGCTGCGAATAAGAAGTTTTGTTTTGTTTTGGTCTTGATGGGGTCTCCCTATAGCCCCAGCTGACCTGGAACTTGCTAAGTAGACCAGCTCACAGAGATTCGCCTGTCTCTGCCTCCCAAGTGCTGAGACTAAAGGCATGCACCACCACACCCGGCCTGCAAATAAGAAATTTGTAACCGTAGCCTTTGTAAACATTTTCCTAAAAGTATGTGAGCAATTCTCTTTACGTGAGTATCCTTATTCATTGATTCTGATTCACAGTTGTCTCTCAGGATGTGGCAGAAAAGAACATTGAAAGTGGTTTCTTTAAACTAGTGGCTTTCAGGGCTGGAGAGATGACCCAGGGGTTAAGAGCACTGACTGCTCTTCTAGAGGACCTGGGTTTGATTCCCACCACATGGTGGCTAACAGCTGTCCATAACGCCAGTTTCAGGGGATGAGTTGCCCTCTTCTGGTCTCCAAGGGTATTGCATGACATGGGTACACTTCCATACATGCAGGCAAAACACTAATACACATAAAATAAAAATAAACTAATGAGCCAGGCGTGGTGGTGCATGCCTTTAATCCCAGCACTTGGGAGGCAGAGGCAGGCGGATCCTCTGTGAGTTCGAGGCCAGCCTGGTCTACAGAGTGAGTTCCAGGCAGCTGGAGCTACAGGGAGATCCTGTCTCAAGAAGACCAAAAAAAACAAAAACAAAAACTAATGGCTTTCAAAGTTTTGACTTGTCTTATGCAACAAAGTATCTTTTAGGGCTGGAGAGATGGCTCAGTGGTTAAGAGCATGTCCTCTGTAAAAGGACCCAAGCACCCACAATCAGGTGGCTTACAACTGCCTGTAACTCCAACTCCAGGTACCTGATGCCCTCTTCTGGAACTCATGAGAACTTTCACTCACATGCACACCCTGCCACACACACACAAACACATATGCACATAATTAGAAAATAATAAATCTTTTTTTGGTCTTTTTAAGACAGGGTCTCCTTGTAGCCCTAGCTGGCCTGGTACTATGTGCTGGGATTAGAGGCATGCATCATTACACCTGGCATAAAAATAAATCTTCTTTTTATTTGGTCTTTTTGAGACAGGGTCTCAACTGGCCTGGAACTTGCTATGTAGACCAGGCTGACCTCAAACTTACAGAGATCTGCCTGCCTCTGCCTTCCAAGTGCTGGGATTAAAGGCGTGCACCACCATGCCCAACTCAAAAATAAATCTTAAGAAGTATCTTCAGTATGGCCTTTCCCAGTCTGACCTGTCTGATATTACATGTAGTGCCTTTTATAACATGACCTGTGTACATATGCTAATATGTGCAGAATGTCAAATAAATGAAGGCTACATAAAACATTTATGCTTACTACTTGCAGTGAGTCTCATATCTTCTGCTTAAATCTCATTCGCATTTATGCTTACTTTGTGTGTGTAGGTGTGTAGGGATATGTGTGCCATGATGCCCAAGGGAGAGGGTCGGAGAACAACCTGGGGAAGTTGGTTTTTACTTTCCATCGTGGGTTTTGGGGATTGAACTCAATTGTCAAACTTGGTAGCAAAAACCTTTACTTATGGAACCATCTAACTGGCCCTTAGTTCATTTAAAGTTAATTTTGAATCACTAAATTGATTCTATGACCTGGAATTTGGAAAATATTGTTCAACCAAACCTGATTACTATGGTGGCGAGGCAGAAGGATGGTTCCACCTTTCCAAGCCTACCTTAGCAGCAGCTGTCAAAGTGAAATCTGATGACCAGGAGAGGGAGGTGATGGCAGTCCAACCTTTCTGTCCTCTAGGAATGGGGTGAGGGTTGTGGGGTGTTCAGCCTGTTGACTCAGAGTCTCTCCTCAGAGCTCCATGAACCTACCTCCTGACAAGGCCCGGCTCCTACGGCAGTATGACAACGAGAAGAAGTGGGATCTGATCTGTGACCAGGTATGAGGTTGGCAAGATAAGGGAGGTGGCAGCCCATGTCAGGGTGGACAAGGCAGTAAGGCCAAAGGTACTGTTGCAGTGCCAGCAGGAACTCCAGCCTTGGCCTGGCACGGTGTATGCTGACTTTCTGTTTCAAGGAGATGTATGGCTGAGACAGCTGGTTGTCTGAGCTCCCATAAGGAGCCATCCAGTGGGCAGTGGCGTCATCGTGGTTTGTGCAGGGTTGGCTGTGGATGAGGTGGGTGGTTTTCCCAGTGGGGCTTGTTTCTGCTTTTCCCCAGACTTAAGGCTATGCCTGTAGGGTATTCTAAAGGACCCTGTATCTCTGACTCTGAGACCTGGCAAATAGCAGGACACTTTTCTTACCAGCCATAGACCTCTAGGGAGATGCCCTTGTCTCCTTTGGCTCTTGTTCCTAAATATCTTAGAGCTAGGTCTCTTAGTGAGACAAGAGAGTATTACTTTGTTGAGTACCAAGGTCTTCTAACACTCACTGCATGTTCTTTCCCCTGCATGTGTTTGAAGGTTACATGTCATGAGTCTTTGAATTCAGGGTTGTCTGTAGGGCTCAGCATTGGCTGCTTCTTCCGTGATTCTTGGTAGGTACAGAAGGACCTGCCACAGTGTTGGCAGCTTACACATAACTGTCATAGAGCTTTGCTGAGGACAAATCTTTCTTTTCAAGCTCTGAACAAACTCATAATAGCTAATGTTTGAGTGCTAGTTATTAAGAACTCTACATACTACAGTATCTCATTTAATCACAAAAGCTCTCTGAGGAGGACACTCTTGGCTTTGAAGAACCATCAGTTCAGTAACCTGCCCAGTGTTGCTAAGTGATGGGGCCAGGTTGGGCTCAGGCAAGCAGGTGCCAAGACTGACATGCTGCCTGCCCTGAGCCAGCTTTATGATTCTGAGACAGAACTCCAAGCTCCTTCTTAGGCAAAAGCCCACTGCCTTTGACTCTGCAGTAAGTGCTGGTTAGTACCTGCTTGGATTTGGAGAACAGCAGCCCCTTGGTACTGCAGTTCTTTAATTGACAATCCCTCAGTCTTCTTTAGCTCACATAATTTTCAGCTTTCTCAGACTCTTCTTTCGTGTATTTTCAGGTCCTGTTTCTTAATATGTCATTCTCCTGAAAGGCTTCTTTTCTCCAGAGCTCTTCAGTGTCTTTGTGGAGGCCCTTATGGGACCAGAATGTTAGGGGTTTTCTGAGTGTCGTCTTGGGTTAGAGCAGTTATATCAGAGCAGAGAAGGCATAGTCCTGTGCCCTATGCAGAAGGGTGCCAAGAGACAACCCAGCCAAGAGCAGCCTTTAGCATTTGAGGTTGCTTTGAATTGTTGGGGTCCAGGGTTTGGGCAAAGAACAGGCAGTGGGCTTGCTCTGAGCTCTATTAATACTCCAATACCAGTCTAGTCCCAGCTGCAGGGTTTGGAGCTACCAAAGCTAGATTTCTGCAAGGGAAAGCTGCCCTCCTCTTGGCTTTCTTAAGAAAAAAAGAAACTTAGCCACTTACATATTTATTTTTGCTTCTATTCACAGCTCTATAGTCCCTGCATCTAAGCAGTAGATGCTTAGAGTAGTTTTTTATATAGAAAAGCATTCTAGGCTTAAGGAGCACTAATTGGAGGAGAACATGGCAACAGGTAAGAAATGCCTAGGGATCAGTCAAGGAAGGGAACCTAAGATTTGGGCAATGCTAAGGGCCAGGTGATACCTGAAGACACTCTCCTTCTTCAGTACCCTCCACAGATGGACTCTGTGTTTCTGTGTGTAGACATATGTGTCTTTTCCTTACAGGAACGATTCCAGGTGAAGAATCCTCCCCATACCTATATCCAGAAACTCCAGAGCTTCTTGGACCCCAGTGTAACTCGGAAGGTGAAGTATAAGACGGAAATTCCTGTCTTGCTGCCCCTCATAGTCTTATGAGGTTTGGCCACAAAACTTTTTGTCTTGGGGCTAAGACATTGAGCCATGGGAGTTAGGTTTCTGGGCTCTGAGGCCTAAAGCAGCTATCCAATGCTGGAGGGAAGGCTTTTAGTTGGTCTTTGTAAAACTTGTGTTTCCTTTTCTGCCTCTTTTATTTGTAATGTAAAATTGGATAGCTGGGTATGGTAATACATACCTGTGATCCCAGTACTCAGGAGTCTGAGGCAAGAGGATTGTGAGTTCCTGGCCATCTTGGGCTGCATAGTGAGATGCTGCACACTCCCTCAGAACAAACACACACTTGGGATATCCATCAGTGACAGAAGATTCTCTGTTTACAGAAGTTCAGGAGGAGAGTACAGGAGTCAACCAAAGTCCTGAGAGAGCTGGAGATCTCACTTCGCACCAATCACATTGGGTAAGTCAGGTGTGGCCGTCTCACCCAGCCTTTTGAATTGTCCCCAAGCATTGCCTGCCCTATAGGTTTTGTTGTTTGTTGGCTTATCCTCCCTGCCATGGAGCAGGGTTGTCCCTTGAATGGCTTCTGTTAATACAGAGCTTTAGATGGGCCTTTTCTGGCTTTTCTATTCTTCAGCTTTTCCAGCTGCTGACCAGTTACTTCTGGCAAGCTTGGGGCCTCTCTTGGGGTCCTTAGCCTGTGGCTTTGAGTGGAAAACATTGCCATAGCATTTGAGATTGGAGTCTGCCTGTGGTCTGGTACTGAGCCAAGCGAGGCCCAGTAAAGCCTGGGATATGAGAATATATTATATTGGGTAACAAACCTAGTTCCTGTATGGTGACTATTTAGACTTTTTGGAGCCCAAATTATTTATTCATTTGAAAGAAAACAATCTTGGTGGATGAGCATAAGAAGCTTCCTGAAACACCAAAGAAAGATATAAGATATTGGGGACCAGGAGTTGATGTCTCCTGTATTCACAGGTCCTAGTGCTGCCAACTCACTGAGGTGGCCCACAGGGTCTGTGTGAGTCTATCAGACTGAGTGGGGAACTAGGTGCTGCTGAGCAGACAGAGAGCGGAGGCAGTGAGGTTCAGGGAGAGGGCAGTACCTCAGTTCTAAGAAACTGTTCCCAGCAAGAGTGAGAAAGAGAGCAAGACAGACAGATGAAAAGAGTGACAGATGATATGTGTGTACCTACGCAGAAAGGACAGTGAGAGTCACCTGATGTAGGTCTGCAACACTTAAAGTAGCAGTGCCTCAGTGAGTGAGCAGTGGTGTGGGGTAGGGTGGGTGCGGTTCCTGGGTACTTGCCAGCCTGAGTCCCTGAGCTTCCTGAGAGTACCATGGAAAGAGCCAGATGATATCATCAGCATTTCCTCCCCAGTCATGGCAGCAGCCTACTTGTCTACCCCCAAGTTAAGCCTGCCTGGAGCTCTTTGGAGGGAGGGGACATCTGTATATAGCCACTACAGCCACAGTCAGAAGGGAAGCAGCACAGGTCAGGACAGGAAAGGGACAGTTCCTGGTATTGGACGTTATGCTGTGGTGGCCAAAGCATGGCTTCCACACGACAGCCATCTGTGAACATCTTGGAATGGACTGCCAAGCCACTGGGAAAGGTGTGCCAAGGCTGCCTCCATTTGAGAATCTTTCACAGAAGGAAAGCTAGCAAGGCTTATCAATTAGTGAGGTATATGGGTAAGAGTGACACCATGGCGATCCTGAGCACCATCTGGCACCGGCATCAAGTCATTCCACAGGCCCTCCATCCATCTTAAGTTTTATGTGTGTCCTGCCATGGTGTGAGGAGTGGGGGCCGGGGGGGGTCTACTCTTCTTAGGAAAGGCCCACCAGATGACAGTCCTTGTGCCTTCCTTCCCCCATTACCTGTGTCTACTTCTCTGGCATCTTGCCAGGAGCTAGGGCCAGACCACCATGCTTCCCAAGTCCCAGGGCCTCTTGGCTGTTGATACAGAAGTTGGAGGTCTAGACCTGGTCCCTGGTTCTAGGGAATAGCTTAATTCTGACATTTCAGAAGCCTCTGCCATCTCACCTGAGACTTCTGCGTAGTTCTGTGGGGAAGTCAGGATCCCACTCTTCAGGAAGAGTTTGTTAGGTTAGTAAGGGTGCTTTGGGGTGGGAGGAGGCTAGGGCAAAGTGAAAAGAGGATCCTGCCTTGGTTACAGCCTGATGAACAGGGTGTTCAGCAGTTGAGTCGACCAGCAGTGGGACTGGGGCTCTTGGGGTGAGGCTGCCTGGGAAGTGGGATTCCAGAACCCTTTAGCTCTTCTGGCTTGTAGTGGTTTTTCTGCCTTGCCAAAGTGCCCTTTAACCTCTCCTCAAAGTGTCAGGATCCCTAAAATAGCAGTGTAGACTCAGACAGGAAATGAGAAGGGGGTGGGGAGCTGGGGTGCTGGAGTGCAGACAGACAGGAAACGGGAGGCCTGTCAGCCCCCAGAGAGGAAGCTAACTCCAGGCAGCTCCAGTGTCAAGCTTCAGCCAGAGCCTGCTGCCAGATCAGGCAGGCCTGGTGCTCTAGCTCCAGCCTCTGTCCTCAGCTTTGGGTGTGGCTGACCAATATGGGGCTGATGTTCCAGCTCTGGGGGAAAAGCAGCCCCACAAGGCAGTTTAGACACAGCTGGTTTATGTAGACCCACAGATATTCCAGAACAGACAGAGCTTTCAGGCTAGTAAGGGTTTTATCCTGCAGGTTTGAGTCTCTGTGCAGTGGAATGAACCTGTCATAGGACAGCCCTCTAACAACTTCAGGGGAATATGCTCTTGACTTTCATTCCAGAGATTGCTCAGTCCAGAAGGAAGGTGACAGTGCCCTAGGGCATTGCCCTCTGTGTCTTACTGCCTACCTGCCTGCCTTCCCACATCCTCATCTGACTGGGAGTCATGGCATACTGGAGTTTCTTGAGTTCCTAATTATTCCCCAGCCTTTTGCAGTTTTGTCACGCACACTCTGATTGAACACAGAACTCATACCTCTTTGCTTACTGCTTCTCAAGACTGTCTGAACCCAGTAGAAGGCCCTTTGGCCCAATAAGGCTCTGTTCCAGAGCTCTCTTTGCACTTCTTGCCCATGTCATGACTGAGACTTCAGTGGGGATTCGCTGGCTCTCGCAAGAACAGCTCTGCTCCTGGTAAAAGCTCCAAATGCCTTCCCAGTTCTTTCAAAAAAAAGTGGGAAAGGACATTGTGCCCAGCTTTAGGATACAGGAAATAATTGGGATATCACCGTGTCCTACTAAGAGAGGACCTAAAATCTTGTGTGGTTGACACATATTTGCAGTAAAGCAAGTGGCAATGGAAGGTGCTTTCCCCATCCCTGGCTCCCTGGCCTGTTGGACATCCAGGCTGGTGACAGGACCACGACTGTCAGAGGTTTTGGTTTCTAGGATTTTCTCAACTTGATACTAGGTTCTGGAAGAGTGTGGATATTGTTGGATTATCCTCTCCCAAACCATTTTATAGACCCCCCTCCACTATGTTTCCTGTATTTTCAGGTGGGTGAGGGAATTTCTCAATGATGAAAACAAAGGCCTGGATGTGCTGGTGGATTATCTTTCATTTGCCCAGTGTTCTGTCATGTGAGTACCACAGGGGCTACAGTTGGGGTCTCACTGGGCACAACACAGTCCAGTTCTACTTAGGAGAGGAAGGGTGAGGACTGGAATATAGCTCAATAGTAGAACATTTACCTAGCCATGTGCTCAGGCCCTGTGTCCAATCCCAGAATGGGGGTTAGGAGAGAGTGAGGTTTCAACAGAGAAGGTGAGAGTGGGCATCTCAGGACAGGAAAAATAGCCCAAGTGTAGGGTAAGAGACAAGACAAGGTAGTATCGGACCAGCGAACACTGGCCAGTTAACTGGTGTAGACGGCATTTGGGTTAAGAGAATAGTGTGGAAAGGGACCTTGAAGTCAAAACCCAAATAATACAAAGTACCAAGCTGTAGGCTTTCCAAGGAAATAGAAATATCCTGGCCCCTGGAGGAGATGCCCTGGTGGGAACCATTCATCAGCAGAATTGAGTCTTCATAAAATGATTCTGGGGCCTAACATGTGAGAGGACCACTCTGGGTCATGTTGAAGAGTAATGAGCATGACTTTACTTTATTTTTTTATTTATTTTATTTTTTGGTCTTTTTGAGACAGGGTCTCCCTGTAGCCCCAGCTGTACTAGAACTCACTATGTAGACCAAGCCTTGAACTCAGAGATCTGCCTGCCCCTGCCTCCCAACTGCTGGGATTAAAGGCGTGCGCCACCATGCCCAGCCCTGAGCATGACTTTTAAAAAAAATATTTTATTTTTATTTTATGTATATGCGTGTATTGCCTGCATGTAGGTAAATGCGCCCATGTCTTGCAGTGCCCACAGAGGACAGAAGAGGCTGTCAGATCCCCTGGAACTGGAGTTACAGACTGTTGTTAGCTGCCCTGTGGGTGCTGGGATTTGAACCAGGGTCTTCTGCAAGAACAGTGTTCTTAACCTCTGAGCCATCTCTTCAGCCCCCGTGAGCGTGACTTTTAACCAGAACATATAGACAAGCATTTGGGAACATTTTTCCAGGCATCCTTTTTAACTTGGAGGTAGTTAGCAGTAGGTTAGCCCAGGAGAGACAGCATGATGTAGTTCAATGAATGAGGGCTTTTGAGTCTGGACATCGAAGTTGGGTTTGGGTCTTAGTTGTATTGTACAGTACCTGTGGGACCTCAGACACCTTTGTCCATCTTAGTGAAAGGAGATCCATGTACTAAGGTTGTAGGATTAGCTGGCAATTTGTGTAAAGCCCTTCCTATTTGGAACATACTAGGTCTACCCTATGATAGTTGCTTTATTCATTTAATTATCCATAACTGCGTATATATAGAAAGAGGGGTGACTGTGATAATAAATGAGGTTGTCAACATGTTCAAACTTACACCCTGTTTAAGTCAGCCCAGGGAGAGCATGCATCCCAAATTTCTCATGACTTTTTGTAGTTCCTGGCACTGAAAGTCCCTAGTCCTGGGAAACCCCAGTCTTGAACCTCCGCTCTTGCCTAGACTTGCTTTTCCATTGTCCCTGCCCCCTTGGCTAGTCTATGTTAAGTCTCATTTCCTCAAGGGCACACTTTAATGCCTCCCTCAGGTTTGGCCTCCCTGTTACCTTTTCCAAGTCATCCAGTTAAAACCAAGAGTAGCCCACTTTCCCTCTGCATCTCTGCAGAAGTCATACCTCACGATCCTCCTATCCCTTTAAATACTCTTTTTATAGAAAGAAATGAAAAAAAAATTGCTGAAGTGAATTTTTTTAGTTCAGAACTTTTATAGTAAAAAGATGTAGATCATTTTTCCAAATAAGCCTATCTTTCTTGAAAAGCAAACAAATCCCAGTTGTTCCACACCAAGAATACGCTGGATGCTTAGTGCTTTGGTGTCCATGGCAGTGCCTTTGACTCTTGTTTTAAAAATAGAGTCAGGGGCTGGAGAGACGACTCAGCAGTTAAGAGCACTGGCTGCTCTTGCAGAGGACCTGGTTTCAGTTCCCAGCACTCACATGGCCGCTAACAACCATCTGTGACTACAGTTGCAGGCGGTCCAACACCTTCTGTCCTCTGCAGGCATTGTATACATAGGTGTACTTACATACATGCAGGCAAAACACTCATACACATAAAAATAAAATATTAAATGTGAAGAGTCCAGGGGAGGAGAGAGTGTATGTTTTGGGAAGGCTTAAGAGGAAAGGGGTGAGGCCACGTAGTTTGACTAAAGGCACGCAATTGTAAATGGTACATCTAGTGCTCCGGAGTGCCATGGTGGTTGGAAGGAAGGTGTGAGAAGAGCCTTTGGGAGATACTCCCTAGTCCTAAGTGACCTCAGAGGCAGAGGAGAGGAGACTGCTTCTCAGGGGGTGCAACCCAGTGGGGATATGTAAGAGAAGGCCCTTGAGTCTGTGATTTCAGCTGTCTTCTTTGCCCGTGACACAAACTGCTGATGGTGAGAGACATGTTATAAGAGTAACAAAGAAAGTATCCCAACTTCTGCAGGGCCTAGAATGCCACCCTTCTATCCCAGCCTCAGCCTGCAATTTTTTTCTACCAGGGAAACTGAGGCTGAGGAGAGAAACCTTAAAGCCTAAAGTAGCTAGTCATAGAAAACCTGGCCACTACAACTTAGGACTAGGGCTGGGGTTCAGCTTGCTGGGAGAGGTCCTGCTGGCATGCTAGCCTAGCAGGGGCCCCCTTGGTTCAGTTCTCAGCACTGCAAAACAAAATAAAGCCAACCAACGAAGGCCAGCAGTATGATGGGGCAGTGGTGGGCTTCCTAAGCATAAGAGACCACCCCTCCCCACTCTGGCTATTCCAGGACTCCATTCTTTTCCTTTCAGTCCTGCCCAATCTGTAATGAACTAGGCTCCTTTAGGATACTCTGCCATTGACCAATGCGTAAGTCCTGCAGTTGGCCTGTTCCCCACCACTCTCTTTGGTACAGATTGTCCATGTAGAGCCACAGCTATTTGAGATGTCCCATTTAAGGCTGGAGCACAAGAAAGAAGCCAGCCCTGGTACCCCTTGGGCCCTGGGAGTACCTCCTCCTAGAGCTGCCTGGGGCCCCTCTGCCCTTCTCTTAAGCTGATGGCTCCCAACCAGGATTGGGTCTCTACTGCCTGATTCTGTTTTCTCTTCTTGCTGCCCTTGCTTCATGTTGCTGTACAGGCCTGAAGAACAGGAGGTGGTCTTGCTAGGGGCTTGGCACAGAATTTCTCTGTGTATGTGCCTGCGTGTGCGCATGTATGTCCTTTCATGCTCCAGGTTTGACTTTGAGGGTCTGGAGAGTGGTGAAGATGGTGCATTTGACAAGCTCCGGTCCTGGAGCCGGTCAATCGAGGATCTGCAGCCGCCCAGCGCCCTGTCGGCCCCCTTCACCAACAGCCTCGCTCGCTCTGCGCGTCAGTCTGTGCTCCGGTATGTGTGCGCTCGCTCTGCCCGCCTGCCTCCCACCCCAGCCCCAGTCCAGGTCTCAGTAACCGCGGTGAGTGCTCATGCTCCCCTCCACTCTTGCTTCCAGGCTCAGCTCTCTTGCCCTCTGCCTGCTCGCCTGTCTCTGATCTGTTCTCTCTGTCTCCCTGACTGCCCCGCAGTCTGTCCTGGGTAAGTACATGGTCCTCAGCTGTGCCACCCCACCTGGGGTTCCAGCTCTCCCCTTCCTCCACTCCTCTCTCTTGATCATTTCTCCCTAACCTTGGGCAGGGCTTGGGCTTTGCTCGCTGATTCAGTTCCTGCCCTCAGGACCATTTCCCTCTAGTTCTCATTCTTCCCCATCAGCTGCCTGGAGACCAGCTTGAAGACCAGCCCCCACCTACCTACCTTCCCCTTCCTTTCCCATCCCTTTTTCCTTCAGGTCCTTTCTCTCCAAATTTGCTATGCCTTCATTTGTGTGTGACTTCTTAAGAGTGGTCCTGATGGTGGAGCCCCTCTCATCCCTGGAGACTGTCCTTGCAGCCCTGTAATCCTTCCATGGTCTTTGTGTCTCATAGCTCTGTGTCTGTCCTTGGTTTTTTCACCTTGGAGACTGCTCACCATTCTGGCCTTGCAGGAGCAGATTCCATATGTGTTTCCTCTTTTTCTCACAAAACATTAAGGCAATAGAGGGATGTACAAAGCCAGGCATAGCCCTTGGCCTTTCTAAGGCCTGGGGGGAGAGGTCTGCTCTGCCTTTTGGAGCATAAGAGTTAATATGAGAACCAAGATGCTCCCTTCCCACTGAATGTGCCAAAGACGTAGCAATTAGAAGTGGCAGGAGGGAAGCTCACTTGCATGTCTTTGTGACTCATCCCGAGGACTTATAAAGTCCTCAAGGTTACTTTGTATTTCAGAGGGTCTCTGAGGTTAGCATGACTGGGCACTGAGTATAAAGCTGGGGTCTTAGGCAGTTGCTGACAAAGGCCTATACCAGGGAGGTGAATACAAACTTGCCTCCTGCAAAGAGTTCAGGTCCTCTGTCAGTTGGCGGTCCTCTTTCTCCCATTTCTGTTGCTACTAAGGGGTGGCCTGCTATCTGGGTGATGGTGAGTGTTCCTAGAACCTTCATGAGCAGCCTGAGCCCCTACCTGATTACCTGGCCCTCTCCCTCAGGTACAGCACTCTCCCTGGCCGCAGGGCTCTGAAGAACTCGCGCCTGGTGAGCCAGAAGGATGATGTCCATGTCTGTATCCTTTGTCTCAGAGCCATCATGAATTATCAGGTAAGGGGTGGTACTCACCATAGGTGCTGTTCCTCTTCTGCCCCATTTGTTAAACCAAGACAGCACAGCAGAGCACCAACCTGTAAAAGACAGGTTTGCTAGTGGAAGGTCTGCTGGCTTCCCCTTTCCCCACCATCAAGGTTCCTTCCTGTCCTTTCCTTTGCAGTATGGCTTCAACTTGGTCATGTCCCACCCTCATGCTGTCAATGAGATTGCACTTAGCCTCAACAACAAGAACCCAAGGTGAATTCCTTCATTCCTTCCTTCTTCACTGTGCCCAGGGTTTGGAATCCTGACTTGTCCTTGACAAGTCCTGCCTGTTTGGGGGTCCTGTAGCTAGGGTCTTGTCTGCTGGAAAAAGTGTGTCCTTGTTTCTCTTGTCTCTTCACAGCTTAATGGGGGAACAAGCCTGCCTTCTCCACCTTCTTTCTAAAAAGGATGTAAACTGTGGTGGGTAGGATGGAAGCTAGGGTGCTAATCTTTTCTTCATTTATTAGGACCAAAGCCCTGGTCTTGGAGCTGTTGGCAGCTGTGTGTTTGGTTCGGGGAGGTCATGAAATCATCCTTGCTGCCTTTGACAATTTCAAAGAGGTTGGTTTCTTGCCTGCACATGCACATGCATGTGCATGCATACATGTATAGGGGAGGCGGTGGTGAACCCAGTAAATAACATTTCCTGGGATTTCCAGTGACTTAAAATCCCGGTGCTCAACTGAGCAGTCTGCTTCACAGAGAACGACTTTAGTCTTTTAAGATCTGGTTCCAGGGTGCCTCCCAATTGGCCAGTTACGGATGTTCTGGGATAGAGTGCAGTGTCCTAACCCGACTCATCATCAGAATTACCAAGTGAGCTTATTGAAAGTACAGAACTGTGCTCCACTTCTCACCCACTGGAGCCTGGATATCTGTACTTTATAAGACTCCCCAGGTGATTTTGCTGTAGTGAACCCTTAGGTGGAACCCAAAGCAGATGTTTTTCAGGGGAGGAGAAGGCTGTTGGTAAGGGGAGAGGGGGCTCTTGTGTAGAATTTCCCCAGCCAGAAGCCTACCTCTGAAACCCTGATCTGCTTGAACATGGATTCCTCGACATCCAGCCACAGCTGTGGTTCCACCTCTTCCTCCTCTCTGGGCCTCTTCCCTAGCATTCATTGTTCAGTCCAGGAAACAGCTCTTCCTCCTTAAAGCTCAGAGGCTCAAAGGAGCCCTAGACCTCTTTGAGCAGAGAGCTTTCCTGCACACTGGCCCCTCCTCTGTGTCCCCCAGGGATCTCAGTCTTCTGTGTCCGCCGTGACTCCCTTCCTTCTTCCTCCTTCCTTTGCTCTTTCAGTAACTTGCCAGCATCTAACTTGCTGTATTTCTAACTGACCTAGCCTGCAAGGCACCTAAAGCCCAGGCTATACTGCATTGCCTATGAGGTGATGGGGGATAGTTTCCAGGTCCTGAGTTTTCTTCTAGTGCCCCAAATGGTCCAGTTCCTAGATAGAGTTCTGTGTGTGTGTGTGTGTGTGTGTGTGTGTGTGTGTGTGTGTGTGTGTATCTGGGTGTGTTTTATTTTTAGACAGAGTCTTACTTTATAAGCCAAGCAGGCCTAAAACTCATGATATTCTTCCTACTTAGACCTCCTGAGTGCTAGGATATTAGATGCAAGCCATCATGACCAGCTGAGTTGTGATTGAACTTGGTCTGAGCTAATGCCTTTGCCATCATGTTTCTGGGAGCCAGAGCTTAGAGTTCTTCATGGTACAGATCCTTCCCCTGAGAATGTTTGCTCATTCAGGTGTGCAAAGAGTTGCATCGTTTTGAGAAGCTAATGGAGTATTTCCGGAATGAGGACAGCAACATTGACTTCATGGTGAGGAACTAGGCCTGAGACAGGTGCATGCCCATCAAGGCTTTGCATTCCTTAAGGCCAAGACCATGCTGACCATGTACTTCGATATTCCACTTCTTCTACCAGGTGGCCTGTATGCAGTTCATCAACATTGTGGTACACTCAGTGGAGGACATGAACTTCCGGGTCCACCTGCAGTATGAGTTTACCAAGCTGGGGCTGGAGGAGTTCCTACAGGTGAGCTGGCCAGAGCCTTGGGAAGGTGAAGTGCCTTAGGGTAGAGAATAACTTAGACATAGCACAAGGAGGTTGTTTTGTTTTTTGTTTGTTTTGGTCTTTTTGAGACAGGGTCTCCCTGTAACCCCAGGTGTCCTGGAACTTACTGTGTAGACCAGGTGGCCTTGAACTCACAGAGATCCGCCTGCCTCTGCCTCCCAAGTGCTGGGACTAAAGGTGTGCACCACCATGCCTGCCTCACAAGGAGGTTTTTTAAAAAATATTTTATTATTTCTTTTTATGTGTATGAGTGTATTGCCTGCATGTATGTAAGTGCACCCATTTCATGAAATGCCTGTGGAGATCAGGAGAGAGCATTGGATTCCCTTGGAACTAGATGATTCTGAAACCTCCCTGTCTTCTTTGACCTGGAGTGAGACTTTTCTGCCAAGGTCTTCCCAATGAAGCAGCTGTATCAGAGCCAGACTGGCATGGCTAGCAGTGATCTAGAATGTGGTTATGAAGTAACGATGGATATTGTTCTCATTTGCTGTCTGTTGCTGTGATAAATATCATTACCAAAAGCAACTTGTAGGGGAAAGGGTTTATTTTATCTTACACTTCCAGGTCACAGTCCATCATTGAGAGAAGTAAGGACAGGAACCATGGAGGAAAGCTACTTACTGGCTTTTTCCCCCTGACTGGTGTTCAGCCAGCTTTCTTATATACCCAGGACCACGTTTCCATGGGTGGCACTACCCACAGTGAACTGGGTCTGCCTACATCATTCAATAGTTAAGAAAATGTCCCACAGACATGTCCACAAGCCAGTCTGATCTAGGCAATCCCCCAATTGAGGCTCCTTCAGATAACTCTGGGCTGTGTCAGGTTGATAGCTGAAGCTAAGTGGAAGTACTAGAATTCCCAGGAGACCTTCCAGTCCTATGCTCTCTTACCTCCTCCTCCCTCTGCTTTTCCCTAGAAGTCAAGGCACACAGAGAGCGAGAAGCTACAGGTGCAGATTCAGGCATACCTGGACAATGTGTTTGATGTGGGGGGTTTGCTGGAAGATGCTGAAACCAAGAATGTTGCCCTGGAGAAGGTGGAAGAGCTGGAGGAACATGTGTCCCATGTAAGTGTCCTTTGCTTACCAGAGCCACTGTTGTGGATTGGGGAGGACAATCTCAGGGATCCTGAGCTTACTCTCTCTTACCTCCAGATTGAGCCACAGCAAGGCTTTGGAACCACTGAGCCTCTTTAGACTGTGCTTTGACCTAAGCCACTGGACATTCCCACTGGAATACATTGACCTTTATGGCTGGGTGTGAGGTGGCCTCATGCTTGGGACAATCAGATTGCTATTCTTTGCCTTGTATCTTGCTGTGTCAGAACTGCAGGCCCATGAGAGTGATGTAGGCACCTGCATAAGCTGCCTTTTGGACCTGCTTTTCAGGTCCTGATTAGGCTTCTGTCCGTGATGGGTGTACTTAGGTTTGAGCATAGCTCTGAACCTGCCTTCCCCATCTTACAGCTCACAGAGAAGCTTCTGGACCTGGAGAATGAGAACATGATGCGGGTGGCAGAACTGGAGAAACAGCTGCTGCAGCGGGAAAAGGAGCTGGAGAGCATCAAGGTACCAGTAAGGGGAGAGGACGAGGGAGGAGGCTGGGACTCACCCTGGCCTCCAGTGCCATTGCTTTTCTTTCCTGAGCCCTAGAAAGTCAGGAAAGATCTTGGGCTAGAGAGATGACTCAGTGGTTAGGATCACTGGCTGCTCTTGTAGAGGACCCAGGTTTGATTCCCAGCAACCACATGGCAGCTAACAACCATCAGTAACTTCAGTTCCAGGGGAATCAGACGTCCTCTTCCAACCTCCACAGGCATTGCACAACACGGGTGCATTACACACATGCAGGCAATACACTCATACACATAATAAAAAATTTTTTTTTAAAAAGCCAGGAAAGACTGGGAGTGGTGGTGCATGCCTTTAATCTCAGCACTCGGGAGGCAGAGGCAGGTGGATCTCTGTGAGTTCGAGGCCAGCCTGGTCTACACAGTGAGTTCCAGGACAGCTGGGGCTACAGGGAGACTCTGCTTCAGAAAGACAAAAAAAAAAAAAAAAAAAAAAAAAAAAAAAAAAAGCCAGGAAAGATCTTGATTCGCCCTGAGGCACTCAGGCAAGGATGGGCTGATGATTTCTTCCCATCTTTTTAGCTGGAGAGGGAAGCTGAAGCCAGAGCTGGCCAAACACAGAGAAGCGCATAGGAGCAGATGTGGTGCCCGTAGACACTCAGTCTAGTCCAGGCCACTTCCTCCTGCCCATCTGCTGCCTTTTCCTCCATTGTGCTCCTCAGCTGTTTACTGAGCATGGTCAGAGTAGCCCAACTCTCTATGTACTAATCTGTCTGCTAGGTAGCCTATGAAGGGCAGCGTTTCTCACCAACTTTATAACTTAGCTATAAAGTCATGCCTTTCTTGCAAAAGAATATATGTTAACTCTTTTGAGCTCCATGTGTATCTGCTGAGCCCCTGCTAGGTTCCATATTGGGAGCTATGGAAGATAACAGAGATTACTAAGACAAGGCCCATCCATAGGATTTCTACAGCCAAAGAAATAAAAGCAATGATGAGGAACAAAAGGCTGTGGAGATAACAGCTGTGCCCAGCTGGCAACAGACCAGCAAGAGTTTCAAGGGTATCAGCCTTGAGGGGCCTGTGCAGTGAGAACAGACTTGAGCAGAGGGAAGGGCATACCAGAATACCAGTGACAGCAAGCTTCTGCTTACCTCTTCTGCTCTGCCACACCAAGCTTCCTTGCTCCCCGACCTGGATTTCTTCTACTTTGAGTACCCTCACAGAGGCCCTAGCCGAGATTCTGTTGGGTAGGCATTCTTACTCATAGGGGAACTGATTATTGTCCCTTTAGTGCATTCTTCCCTCATTGTTGCTGTCTGCCTGATAGGAGACATACGAAAACACAAGCCACCAAGTGCACACTCTTCGGAGGCTCATTAAGGAGAAGGAGGAGGCTTTCCAACGCCGATGCCACCTGGAACCAAGTGCCCAGGGCCTGGAGTCCATGGGTGGTAGTGAGGCCCTGGCCAGGATAGGCCCTGCAGAGTTGAGTGAGGGCGTACCATCCTCTGACCTGGACCTGCTGGCTCCAGCCCCACCTGCTGAGGAGGCCCTACCGGTGCCTCCTCCACCAGCTCCACCTTTGCCCCCACCTGCTCCCCCATTACCAGGTAACTGAGATTCCAGGGCTGGGAGGGGTAATCTTTTTGTGAGGTCAGGACCCTAGTCAGCAGTGCCTTCATCAAGGAGCAGCTGCGAAGTGGCATTATCTGAGGCTATCAAATCAGAGTAGGAGGGCTGAGAGAGGTCCAGGATTAGGGAGGCACATGCGAAGGGGTCTCGAACAGATTCTGCTTCAGGATCTCCAAGATGCTACTCTTAGTTCCCCTGTAGGTATCCTAGCAGAGGGCTAAGCTGTGGCAGGAAAAACTCCATCAGGGACTAGGTCAAACTGCTGCCCTTAGTAAAGACTCCTGGGATTGGCTTGAGCAGAGTTCAGACAGCCTCCTTCTCTGAGTCTGTAAGGACAAGGTGAGGTAGGCAGAATTTGGGTAACCTGGGAAGAGTCTTAGGACCTCCAGGTGACTGTACCATTTATTCTTTCCCAGATAAGTGTCCCCCTGCCCCACCTCTCCCTGGTGCTGCTCCTTCTGTGGTATTGACAGTAGGCCTGTCAGGTGAGTGTTCTCAGGGCTCTAGGCAATGGCTAATGGAGTTTTTCCTTGGCCCTTGCCTTACTGATCCTCTTCCCAAAACTAGCCATTCGCATTAAGAAACCTATCAAGACCAAGTTCCGGCTGCCAGTCTTCAACTGGACAGCCCTGAAACCCAATCAGATCAACGGCACTGTCTTCAGTGAACTTGATGATGAGAAGATCTTGGAGGTGACAGAGTCTGGGGTCGAGAAAGGGTGGGCTTGGGGCTGGAGGTCAGGATGCTCTTATAGCCAGATCTTCTGGGCTTGTAAAAGTTCTCCAGCAGAGTATGACTGGTATCCTATTGGCTTCAGGAACCAGAGTTGGGTCCATGGAGGGCACATGGCCTGTGGGTGTTGTAATAGCATGAGCCTGCAACATTGTCCTTTCTCAACTCTTTCAACAAGGACTTGGACCTGGACAAGTTTGAAGAGTTGTTTAAGACAAAAGCCCAGGGCCCTGCCCTTGACCTCATCTGCTCCAAGAATAAGACAGCACAAAAAGCTGCCAGCAAAGTGACCCTTTTAGAAGCCAATCGTGCCAAGAACCTGGCTATCACCCTTCGCAAGGCTGGGCGCTCAGCTGAGGAGATCTGCAGAGCTATCCACACGTGAGGCTCCCACTCCTGTGATCCTGGTCCCTAGACAGTTGGTATCCAAGTTCCCTCCCAGTATTTGGCTTCCTCCTAGATCCCAGCGCTCCTGACAGAACTTTCTCACACTTCTCAGTCATCCACTGGCCTGGGCAGAGCTTCCTACATTCATGCTGTGTCAGACACAGTGTGAGGAATGCACATTCAGCCTACACCTTCACCCAAGGAGATCCCATGTAGAGCAGTAAAACTGCCAGGTTGGCAGAGCACAGGAAGGAGAGCCAAGTAGCTGAGCATTGTCAAGGAGGGCTTTCCAGAGGAAGGGGTATCTTAACTGAGACTGAAGGAATTGCACAAGTAAGTCCAATTTAGGACCTGGAGGGAGGAACATAGTACTTAAGAATATTGAAAATGGGGCTCAAGAGATGGCTTAACGGTTAAGAGCACTGGATGCTCTTGTAGAAGACCTGGGTTCGATTCCTAGCACCCACATGGTAGCTAACAGTGGTCAGTAACTCCAGTTCCAGGGGATCTGACACCCTCTTCTGATATCCGTGAATATTGCATAACATGAGTGCACTTACATGCATGCAGGCAGTACACTCACACACATAATAAAACAAAAGAACATTGAAAATGAAATCTAGCTTTAGTGAAGTTAGGGAGCAGGACAGGGTAAAGACTGAGTGAAGTTAGGGAGCAGGACAGGGTAAAGACTGAGTGAAGTTAGGGAGCAGGACAGGGTAAAGACTGAGCAGAAGCCTCATGTGCCACTCAGGTGTTTAGAATTCAGCATAGATGCAGAGGGGAAGTCATTGAAGGGCTCTCACAATAGGAGCATGGGGGTCAGGCCTGGCGATGCATCCCTATAATCCCACATTTTGGTACCCAAGGCAGGAGGCTCCCAAGTTAGAGGCTACCCTGAAATATACAGCAAGGTCCTGTCCCAATATACAAGAGCATGGTTTGTTCCCCCAAGACAGTTGTTGGCTGTGTGACAGAGGAAGCAGTGGTGCTTTGCCTCTGACTGTCTGTGTATTGTTCCCGATTCTTTTGGGGATAAGGAGACGATGTAGACAAATGCCAGACCTGAGGTGTTGTATCCTCCTACACAGGTTTGACCTACAGACACTCCCTGTGGACTTTGTGGAGTGCCTGATGCGCTTCCTGCCCACAGAGGCTGAGGTGAAGCTGCTGCGGCAGTATGAGCGGGAGCGGCAGCCCCTGGAGGAGCTGGCAGCTGAGGACCGCTTCATGTTGCTCTTCAGCAAGGTTGAGCGGCTGACCCAGCGAATGGCTGGCATGGCTTTCTTGGGCAACTTCCAGGACAACCTACAGATGCTCACACCGGTACAGCCTCTTCCCAAATCATTTTCCTCTACTGCTGTTCCTTCACACATATCTCCCACTAGTCACTTGCCCTGTGGATCCTCTGGCCTTACCCCTTAACTTCATTTCCCTCTCAGCTGAGGGTGACTGTGTTCATCTTGTTTTCCAGCAACTGAATGCCATCATTGCGGCCTCTGCCTCTGTTAAGTCCTCACAGAAACTGAAGCAGATGCTAGAGGTTGGGAAAAGGGGTGATTGGGGTGCTGGTGGTTCCAGGTCCTGGGTGGGGGCCTGGGACTATACAGAGAAGAGGAGGGAACCCTTGGAGCTTGTTGTAACATGCTCTCTATGCATCTTATGGACAGATCATACTTGCATTGGGGAATTATATGAACAGCAGCAAGCGGGGTGCTGTGTATGGCTTCAAGCTCCAGAGCCTGGATCTGGTAAGACGGCGGGGGAACCTGGGCAGGAAGCCTGGAATACTGTGGCAGAGCCTGTGTGCTTAGTTCTCTGCTGTCACCCCTTCCTTCTAGCTGCTGGACACTAAGTCCACTGATCGGAAAATGACACTGCTGCACTTCATCGCCTTGACAGTAAAGGAGAAGTACCCAGACCTGGCTAACTTCTGGCATGAGCTGCACTTTGTGGAGAAGGCTGCAGCAGGTATGGGGCGGGGGTGGGGAAGGCTGACTTCTTTCTAACCCAGGACAATCCCAGGAAGCTGAGGAGGGGGGATACCTGGGCCCATTTGTTTCTGGCTTTTGTTTTCTTCCGACCACTTCAAAGCTTTCTTCTGGAGTCATGAATGGGGGCTACCACAGAGGGAGCCTTCCTTCAGGCTGTATACCCAGCCTTTCCCAGCTAGGTACAGCGGGAGCAGAGGGTTCACTCCCACCTCCCTTAGGTGGTGGGGAGATTGCATTTCATATGGTGTATGTGATGTGGTTAGAAAACCTATAAAGCCCTTACAGACACACATATAGTAGCTGTTGTTTCTGTCCTGCCCATGAAAATCTGGGCAGGCTCAAGGCCCTCCATTTTGGAGGTCAGCCGTCTCTGCAGTTTGCCTTCCTTTGCTGCCTTCTTGTTTGGGGTCGTGAACTCAGCCTCCATTCCTTTCCCCTGCCCCTGAGAGCTCAGCCTGTTTTATTATGCACTTCTCCAAATGTACATGAGTAGAAGCCCATGCCCTGGGGGAGGGCAGGTTTGCTGAAGTCCTGAGTAGGCTTCATTCAGGCCTCTGGTAACCGCAGTGTCCCTGGAGAATGTGCTGCTGGATGTGAAAGAGCTGGGCCGGGGCATGGAGCTGATTCGGCGGGAATGTAGCATTCATGACAACAGTGTCCTTCGGAGCTTCCTCAGCACCAATGAAGGCAAACTGGACAAACTCCAGCGTGATGCCAAGACGGCTGAGGTGAGCAAGGGATTTAAGAGTAGGGGCACACGGATATCCAGGACCAAAAACACTAGCTCTTCAGATAGACCCCTGACTCTACCTCTTTTATCAGGCAGCTGTCCAGGGGTGGGTGTGACAGCAGGCATCCATGTTTGGAAATGTGACTCTCAGGAGCACTGGGAGCACCACACATTCTCTCTAGTTCACATACCTTCTTATAAGGTATGCTGGAGAGTTTGGATGAGAAACAACTGGCCCTGGGTGTTTGGTTTCTCTCCCTTTAACCCTGGGCTCTGCTGTCTGTGAGCCTCCTGCCCCTGGTGTGAGAGCTGGGCTTCTTCCACCAGGATGACCCTTCTGTCTGCCCTTTCCCCAGGAGGCCTACAATGCAGTTGTGCGCTACTTTGGCGAGAGTCCCAAGACCACCCCTCCTTCTGTGTTTTTCCCAGTATTTGTCCGATTCATTCGTTCTTATAAGGTATGCTGGAGAAAAGTTTCTAAAGAGTTTGAATGAGAGAAAACTGGTTGCGAGGGAGAGCCTGGACTTCAAGTCTGGGTCTTTTCCAGTTCCTGAGTCCTAGGGAGGGAACCATGGAAGCTGGTGACAAGCCTCTTAGCTGTGAACTGGTGGGCAGGGTGGGGGCCCAGGCCCTTCCTGTCATTGTTATGATCAGGAAGTGCCCGTCCAGAGGGTGGCCACCTGGGGTTAGCTGGTCCCACTGCCACCCACTCTCCAAGCTCAGTGTTAGCCCCACCCCTCCCAGCCTGTGAGAGCTTCAGGTCTCACCACCCAACCCTTTGGTTCTAAGGAAGCAGAACAAGAGAATGAAGCTCGAAAGAAACAGGAGGAGGTAATGCGGGAGAAGCAGCTGGCTCAGGAAGCCAAGAAGCTGGATGCCAAGGTAGGTGGGACCAAGAATTGGTCTACAGGGCAAGGCAAAGAACTGAGGACTCAGGGAGCCAGAAAGGACCCAGAAAACTAAGACAGACCCCACCCCACCCCCACCCCAGTGTGCGTGAGGGAGAGTCCAAAGGAAGGGGCAGCCAGAACGACTGACAGGCAGGGCTTCTCTGTAGAGTATAAGCATGTATCCTCAGACTGCATCTTGGGACAGGAACCAGCCGCTTGTAAGGTTAGTGATGACTTCCTTCCCCTTCTGATGTTTGGCCCTAGTCTCCATCCCAGCGGAACAAATGGCAACAGCAGGAGCTAATTGCAGAGTTGAGGCGGCGCCAAGCTAAGGAGCACCGGCCTGTTTATGAGGGGAAGGATGGTACCATTGAAGACATCATCACAGGTGGGACCCTTGCCCACTGGACCCAGCTCCCAGAGTCCAACCTAACCTACTTTGGGCCTTCTTCCTTCCCTTTCCCCCATGAGGGCTGATCACTGTCTTTCTCCTGGGCATAGTGTTGAAGAGTGTCCCTTTCACGGCCCGTACTGCCAAGCGGGGCTCACGCTTCTTCTGTGATGCAGCCCACCATGATGAGTCAAACTGTTAACCCCCAAGGCTGAGGCCCGCGACAGGTACTGGGCAGCATGACTGCCCTCTCTGCATGCCTTGGGAACCATCTCAGTGATGGGGCTGACTTCTTGCATACCCTGTGCTCTTGAGAAGCATGGCTTATTCCCTGCATGCACCCTTGGGGAAGTGGCATTTCCCACTAATTCTACCCCAGCTACTAAGACCTAAGAGCTAAGAAGTCACCAGGGCAGGGTTGAGAGCTATGCCAGATCAGGGAGGACCAGGCCTAATGGTCCCAATTACTAAGGCTCCATTTTTTGATCCATGGGGGTCCTTAGTCTTGGCCTTTCCTAGGGTTTTCTCCTAAGAGCTCTGGCTGCTGCTCAGGGACAGATGTCCCTTGATCTCTGCTTCCTGACATCTACTTGGTCTTGGGTCTCTTCCTTCGTCTACTTTGTCTCTGCCCAATGTGTTTAGTCCCCTCATATTACCCTCTGAGTCTTCCTTATGGTCCTCAAGCCCCCTTCAAAGTCCACCCTGACCCTCTTTGTAGCTGACTCCTCCTTGTCCTCCTCAGACTCCCTGCCTATTTACATGCCTCTGTCTTCCCCACAGGCCTCCACCACCAGCCTATTGTTCGGCATCAAGCTAGGAGTACTGCACCACCCAGTGGCCCTCCTTGGGCTCCAGGTCCCCCACTGAGATCCTCTTGAAGTCAGAAGCACTTCAATTCTCAAGAGTCCTGCAAGTCTGGACAGTGGACCTGAAGCCTAGGCCCAGCAGAAGGCTGAGCTGATCCAGCTGCAGCCACTCCAGTTTTGAGGCTGCATCTTTTATCTATGCCACTGTGGGCACTTGGTCTGTAGGGGCCTGGCACTTCCCCAGTGCCCCCATAGTCTTCAATGTTTCCTGAAGGGTCAGTTCAGGGCTCGGAAAAACCACTTCCAGCTTTAGCCCACACAGGGGTATCTTGGCCCCTCTTCCACTAGAGTCTAGTGGGGTGAAGGGAGAATGCTACACTCTGCTTTTTCCCTTTTTGCAGTTCCACAACCAGCTCAAGTATCCAGGCTTATGGATCCCTGGACTCTGCCAATCTCAGATCATTTCATGGAGTAAAGCCCTTCTTGGCTTGGGCCCAATCTGTTGTGCCCTTGTGAAATAGGCCGAGGACCAATTTCAGGCCCACCTCCCTTCTCTGCCTCTTCCATGCTTGGCCTTCCCACAGTGGGCTGAAGAGGCGCTAGCTCTAAGACTGCTAGAAGAAGGATGTGCCAACAAACTCCTCACCTCCTTTTCTCAGCTAGGTGGATTTTGGCAGAGGTAGTAGACAGAGGGTCTTGAGACAATCTGCTCAATTTCCTACCAGCTTCTCTGACCCCTGAAGAGAATGTGGGGACCGCTTCCTTTTGTACATACACCATTTCCCTTCTCTTGTACATAAACCCTTGACATCTTAACAAAGGCTTGAAGCTCCAGGCTCTCTGAGTGGCCCTGAGGGTAGACGGTGGGGGTGGGCAGGGGCTGCCTCCATTTCAGAAAAGATGAGTCCAGAAGCCTGGGGCACAGGGGAAGCCTGGCAGGGTGCACTCTGGCCACACAAAGGGAGGCAAATGTGTCAGGACAGTGCCCTCTGCTGGTCGTATATATACCTGTCTTCATCCCCACTGGGCAGAAGATGGAGAGGACATAATAGTCACTGGTCATGTTATAAATATTATTTAAAAAACAAAACAACACATATATCAGGTCCCAGGGGTAGAGGAAGCAGTGGTGGAGCCCCAGGGCCAGGGCAGGCAAGAGCAGGCACTGATGCTAGAGGGTGAGGACCCTGCCCTCTGCCACCTAGGCTATGTCCACCAGCCTGTCTCTTTTCTGGAGACCCCGCCCCATAATTTTTTATCTACCGGCATCACCCACCCCACATGATATACATTGCCCATCTCTGGTCTGGGGCTGAGGGCAAGGACTGCACTAGTTGTCCGAGAACTGGGGGACCCTTGAACACCAAGAGCAACCTTGAGAGGTGCTAACAGTAGTGTGTTGGGGTTGGGTTACTTTGGGAAAAGTGGACACAGACCAGACAGACGGAGTCTGAGGCAGATGGTTGAGGGTGGCCCTGGAGCCACTGCCTCACGTAGTCCCAAGGCAGAAAGTAGCTCATGGGGTCATTGGTGGTCATCCAGCTGCTGTAGGAGTGTCCGTCTTCGCCTCTCAAGCTCCCCTTCACTCAGCTCACTTTCAGACGTATCCCAGCCTGTCTGTTGAGCAAAGGCATGGCTTACCTGGGTCCCCTCCTGGACAGAGTATCACCTCAGGTTCGGGCCAAAAGTGGGCCCTCCTGCTCACCTTCTCCTTCTTGATTCCAAAGCCTGGGGAGCGGTTAGGGAGGTCTGGCTGCCGAAGCTCCCTGTCCTTGTCCTGTTCCTGTTCTCTGTCTTCACTCTCCTTACCAACCTTCTCATCAGGGTCTGTCTCACTTGCAGGACTATTCTGTAACAGCCCAGAGCCCATCTCAGTGGCTGGGCGGTGTAGCTAGGAAGCAGGTGAAACCTCCCTTGAGAATTCTTTACCTACAAACATAAGGGTTGTCTACTCACCGACTTGTGTCTCCTTTTCTTAGTTTTCTTTTTTGGTTTCTTGCTTTTCCGAAGGCCATGATCTGGAGGGGGGGGTGGGAGAGGGAGAGGGAAGGCTGAATCCCAGCTCCTTGCCTAGGCAAGAATAGGATGTTCTTATTCCTCCACAGCCTGCCTAGCCCTGTCTGCCCTCAGGGGTCTGGGACCTGATGGGCCTCTGCTCAGATAGGGCCACAGTACTATAGCTCCCAGGCTTCCAGAACTGCTTACCTGACCCAAGGAGAAGGTGAGAGGATGGGGAGCCTGGTCCTCCAAGGGTAGCACCCCCACTTTCAACTGAATCAAGGGAGGATGAGGGCTCAGAGCCAGATTCTGAGGGGTTCCGTCGCCTCCGCTTGGGAGGCCGGAGGGATGGTGGGGGCAGCTCTTCCTCTTCCGACTCAGACCCCTGGTCAGATGAACAGATACTGAGGTCAGAGCAGAGATTCTCTATTCTCCAGAAGCCCTCATCTGGGAATTGGGGACAAAGAATCCAGAACCAAGGGATTCCTCAAATCTCCCTCCAAAAGAGAACAGTGAAAAAATGTGTTTAGTTTGTCCAAAACAATCCAACCTCACCCGCTACCTGCCAACTCACTGAAGGTGAGTGGGAACGCTTCCGATGGTGTTTCTTGCTCTTTCTGCTGTGCTTTCGGCCTTTGGTGTGAAGGTGCTGGCATTCAGTCTGCTAGAAGCAGAAAGAGATGAAAACTTTGCCTTCCTGTCTCAGCTAGGGCCTCTGCCTTTTCTAGGGCCCCCTCCCTTTCAATCCTTCCTTTCCTGGCTGGACAAGGAAAGAAGCACATTCATGGTGACAGTCCACTGAGGTCTCGTGTAGCACTAAGGACTTCTAAGGCGAGGCACAGATAAGAACGGTCAGGTGCCTGCCTTACCTCCAGCACCTGCAGGAACTCCCGGAAGAGCCGGATCCGCTCCGACTCCAGGGTGATCTGCTCAAAGGCTGAGTCGCACACAAAGCGCTCACGGACCTTGAACGGGGAGAGCACTGCTGATCAGACCAGGCCCTGCCTGGCCCAGCTTGAACACCGCCACGAGCACTGGGCAGGGCTGGGGCAGAGGAAGGAAGGGAACTGGAGCTGGCCCAGGGCTGTGCTGTGACTGGGGTGGGCCCTCAGTGGTGGAGAAGCTCCGCTGCCCTCAGGCTTGAGGGTGATTGGGGCCAGGCTGTGCTCCTGACCTCTTCCCACGCAGTGCCCAGCTCCAGAGCAGGCACGGCCTGCCTCAGCATGCTTCGAAAGGCAGCTTCCCTGCGCCGCATCCTTCGTGCCTCCTCCTTCTCTCGTTCCCTCTCCCGTGCTTCTGCTTTCTCCAGCAGCTGAGAGTAAAAGGGACAGAGGACAGGGTCGGCATGTCTTAAAAGGTAGGAAAGGGTTGGTCTGGACTTGTTATCATTCCCCAAACCCAAGACAGTCAGCAGGGAGGTGAGAAGGAACAAGACACTAGGATAAGTGAAAGAACTGAGCCCACCCAGCTCTGCCCAGCCCCTCACACTATTGAAGGTCAGCTTGATGTTGCCTGCGTCCAGCGCAGCAGCCCTCTTGTCAAAGCTTATGACGTGGGCGAAGTCCTCAAAGGCTGTGTTCACCTCCACACAGAAGCCCCGGTCCTGTAGGCACAGTAGCACGTCAAGGCCAGAGGCACCATAAGCCAGAGACCCAAGGCCAACAGGGAAAGGATCAGACTGCAAGATGTTCAAGTCTCTGTGCCCAAAAGGGATAGGATCCACAAGACTGTGACACCATGCTAAGTCGTCATCTGACATTGCTCTCATGTGTATCCTAGTGTGGATTCACCTGGAGTCAAAGGAGCCAGGAAGCACCTTTAGTCTGACAGCTGAGTTATTTACAATTAGGTTTTTGATCCTCTGGCCACAGCTAGACCTCCTTCCTACTCATAGAAGTCAGGTATACAATTCAACAATATTTAAAAGATGTCCATTGTCTAAGCACACTGTCAGACTCTGCCTCTCATCAAAGCCTCAATGTCCTAGTGAAGTGGAGGCTTAGGAGAGTAATCTTACTTGGCCCAAGCTGACATTGAGTAGTAAACGGAACACTAGGGCACAGGCCAACTTTCCTGTCCCTCCAGTACAGCTGGGACTTCCTCCAGCCTTACTGCTAATGGTAGAACTATGTTCTCTTTTCTCCAAGTCCTTAGCCCAGGTTCTAGACCTTCCCAAACTCTGTCTGTCTGTGTGTTTGTGTGTGCGCCATCTCCCTATCACTCTCCCTCTTTGAGGATAGGCTTCAACTGTACCCTTTTCATTGGCTCCTTCCAAGGAATATGCAGCTCACTTTGCCGCCTTCTTGCTTTTAACTCCTAAAGCTAGCTAACTGCTTCTTTTCCTCAGTTTCAGAATCCTTGAACACAGCAAAAGGGAAAAGGGACAAACTTACTGAAAACCTATTCTAAGCAATATACTTGACAACAAATGTTTACATCTATAAAATTATTTAATTCTTACAACTTGGCATTTGGATTTTACAATTTACAGCAGATGGAACTGAGGCTCAGAAGCATTACATAAACTTGTGGAGGTCTCAGGGCCAGTGAACAGCCAGAAGATACTTGACTTTAAAGTATGTGCTTATCTAACATCCCTCTCTCCAGGTCCTTCCTCTGTCTTCTGACCTTTTTTGTCAGTTCCTTGTGTGTTCATGTCCCTGAGAACTGCCCCTTGGTCCTTTCACACTTATCTTGATCTACGCTTTCCATAGCAGTCTCATCTGTCGATTTTCAGACTCAAGCCAAACTGGCTATTTCACAGACACTTCAAAT